CACGCCTGTAACTCCTGCCCCGGTGGGGCAGCCTCATGCTTGTAACTCCTGCCCCGGTGGGGAGGCCACATGCCTTTAACTTGTAAAGCGCATAGTGAAGGGCAGTAAAATGAGATGCGTCGGTCGTTGCCAGAAAGCCGTGCCTGTGAAGCCCTGTTCTGTTCTGACTCACCTCTGCTGCCTGGACGTGCATTCGTTGTGTATGACAAGTCACTGTGGCCGGACAGTGCGGTCCAACACACACTGACCTCACAGCTTCTGTGGGGTGGGAACCATGACCCACCCTGGTGTGGTGTTCCCACCATCCCGGCATCCGTGTCTGTGTGTCCCCTGCAACCCCTCAACAGTACTGCTCGGGGCATGACTCACTCTATCAACCACTCGGCTATTTACCAACGATATGGAAAGCAAAAAAAAAAGCAGGGGTTGCAATCCCAGTTTCTGATAAACAGACTTTAAACCAACAAAGATAAAGACAAAGGCATTACATAATGGTAAAGGGATCAATGCAACAAGAGCTAACCTAAATATACATGCAGCCAAGACAGGAGATTCATAAAACAAGTTCTTAGAGATCTACAAAGAGACTTGGACTCCCACACAATAATAATGGGAGACTTTTAAAACCCCACTGTCAATATTAGATCAGTGAGAAAATTAACAAGGATATTCAAGACTTGAACTCAGCGCTGGACCGAGTGGACCTAACAGACATCCATAGACCTCTCCACCCCAAACCAACAGAATATACATTCTTTTCGGCACCACACTGCACTTATGCCAAGATTGACCACGTAATTGGGAGTAAAACACTGCTCAGCAAATGCAAACGAACAGAAATTATAACGGTCTCTCAGACCACAGTGCAATCGAAGTAGAACTCAGGATTAAGAAACTCACTTAAGGCCGGGCACGGTGGCTCACGCCTGTAATCCCAGAACTTTGGGAGGCCGAGGCGGGCAGATCACGAGGTCAAGATATCAACGCCATCCTGGCCAACATGGTGAAACCCCATCTCTATTAAAATTACAAAAATTAGCTGGGCATACTGGTGCACACCTGCAGTCCCAGCTACTCAGGAGGCTGAGGCAGGAGAATCACTTGAACCCAGGAGGTGGAGGTTGCAGTGAGCCAAGGTCACACCACTGCACTCCAGCCTGGGGACAGAGCAAGACTGTCTCAAAACAGAACCTCAAAACCGCACAACTACATGGAAACTGAACAACCTGCTCCTGAATGACTACTGGGTAAATAATGAAATTAAGGCAGAAATAACAAAGTTCTTCAAAACCAGCGAGAATAGAGAGAAAACATAACAGGATAGCTAAAGCAGTGTCAAGAGGAAAATTTATAGCACTAAGTGCCCACATCAGACAGCAGGGAAGATCTAAAATCGACATCACAGCTGAAAGAGCTAGAGAAGCAAGGACAAGTAAATTCAAAAGCTAGCAGAAGACAAGAAATAACTAAGATCAGAGCAGAATTGAAGGAGATAGAGACACAAAAAAACCTTGAAAAAATCAATGAATCCAGGAGCTGGTGTTTTGAAAATATTAACAAAACAGACTGCTAGCCAGACTAACAAAAGAAGAATCAAGCAGACACCATAAAAAATGATAAAGGGGATATCACCACTGATCCCACAGAAATAGAAACTACCATCAGAGAATACTAGAAATGCCTCTATGCAAACTAGAAATTCTAGATGGAATGGATAAACTCCTGGGTATACACACCCTCCAAAGACTAAACCAGGAAGAAGTTGAATCCCTGAAAAGATCAATAACAAGTTCTGAAATTGAGGCAGTAATTAATAGCCTACCAACCAAAAAAAAGCCCAGGACCAGACGGATTCACAGTGGAATTCTACCAGAGGTAAAAAGAGGAGCTGATACAACTTCTTCTGAAACTATTCCAAACGATAGAAAAGGAGGGATGCCTCCCTAACGCATTTTATGAGGCCAGCATCATCCTGATTCCAGAACCTGGCAGAGACACAGGAAAAGAAAATTTCAGGCCAATATCCCTGATGAACGTTGATGCAGAAATCCTCAATAAAATACTAGGAAATCGAATCCAGCAGCACATCAAAAAGCTTATCCACCATGATCAAGTCAGCTTCATCCCTGGGATGCAAGGCTGGTTCAACATTTGCAAATCAGTAAATGTAATACATCACATTAACAGAACCAAAGACAAAAACCACCTGATTCCCTCAATAGATGCAGAAAAGGCCTTCAATAAAATTCAATACTCCTTTGTGCTGAAAACTCCCAATAAACTAGGTATTGATGTAACATAAAATGTTAAGAGCTATTTGTGACAAACCCATAGCCGATATATCATACTGAATGGGCAAAAGCCGGAAGCATTCCCTTTGAAAACTAGCACAAGACAAGGATGTCCTCTGTCACCACTCCTGTTCAACATAGGATTGGAAGTTCTCGCCCAGGGCAAGCAGGCAAGAGAAAGAAATAAAGGGTATTCAGATAGGAAAAGAGGAAGTCAAATTGTCTCTGTTGTGCAGACGACATGATTGTATATTCAGAAAACCCCGTCATCTCAAGCCCAAAAACTCCTTAAGCTGATAAGCAACTTCAGCAAAGTCTCAGGATACAATATTAATGTGCAAAAATCACAAGCATTCCTGTATACCAATAACTGACAGCCAAATCATGGGCAAACTCCCATTCACAATTGCTACAATGAAAATAAAATATTTAGAAGTACAACTTACAAGGAGAACTACAAACCACTTCTCAAGGAAATAAATAAGAGAGGACACAAATGGAAAAAATTTACATGCTCGTGGGTAGGAAGAATCAATAAAGTAATTTATGGCCATAAAGTAATTTATAGATTCAGTACTCTTCCCATCAAGCTACTACTGACTTTCTTCACAGAACTAGAAAAAACTTTAAATTTCATAGGGAACCAAAAAAGAGCCTATATAGCCAAGACAATCCTAAGCAAAAGGAACAAAGCTGAAGGCATCAAACTACCTGACTTCAAACTATACTATAGGGCTACAGTAACCAAAACAGTATGGAACTGGTATCTAAACAGATATATAAACCAATGGAACAAAACGGATGCCTCAAAGATAACACCACAAACCTGACAAAAACAAGCAATGGGGAAAAGATTCCCTATTTAATAAATGGTGCTGGGAAAACTAGCTAGCCATATGCAGAAAACAAACTGGACCCCTTCCTTACACCTTACACAAAAAGTAACTCAAGATGGATTAAAGACTTAAACCTAAAACCATAAATACTCTAAGTGAAAACCTAGGCAGTACCATTTGGGACATAGGCACTGGCAAAGACTTCATGAGTAAACTACCAAAAGCAATGGCAACAAAAACCAAAACTGACAGATGGGACCTAATTAAAGAGATTCTGCACAGCAAAAGAAACCACCATCAGAGTGAACAGGCAGCCTACGGAGGGGAGAAGATTTCTGCAATCTCCATCTGACAAAGGTCTAATATCTAGAATCTACAAGGAACCTAAATTTACAAGAAAAAAACCCCATCCAAAAGTGGGCAAAGGATAGGAACACACTTCTCAAAAGAAGATATTTATGCGGCCAACAAACATATTTTTAAAAGCTCATCATCACTGGTCATTAGAGACATGCAAATCAAAACCACAGTGAGATACCATCTCGCGCCACTTAAAACAGCGATCATTAAAAAGCCAGGGAACAACAGATGCTGGCATGATGTAGAGAAATAGCGCTTTTATACTCTTGGTTGGAGTGTAAATTAGTTCATTGTGGACGACAGTGTGGCAATTCTCAAGGATCTAGAACCAGAAATGCTGTTTGACCCAGCAGTTCCGTTACTGGGTATACACCCAAAGGATTGTAAATTACTCGGTAAAGACACACGCACACGTACGTTTACTGCAGCACTGTTCACAATAGCAAAGACTTGGAACCAACCCAAATGCCCATCAGTGATAAACTGGATAAAAAAATGTGGCACATAGACACCATGGAATACTATGCAGCCATAAAAAATAATGTGTTCATGTCCTTTGCAGGAACATGGATGTATAGGAAACTAACACAGGAACAGAAAACCAAATGCCGCGTGTTCTCACTCAAAGTGGGAGCTGAACAATGAGAACACATGGACACAGGGAGGGGAGCATCACATACCAGCGTCTGTTGGGGGATGGGGGACAAGGGAAGGGAGAGCATTAGAACAAATACCTAACGTGTGCAGGCTTAAAACCTAGATGACAGATTGATAGGTGCAGCAGACCACCGTGACACATATGTGACTATGTAACGAACCTGCACATTCATATTCAGCACATGTATCCCAGAACGTCAATAAAAAACAAACCCACTCCCCCCAGCCCTCCCCGCAGCCAGCCTGGACTCCCCACATTTGGGGGAAAAGGCTGCATTTGGAGCCCAAGGTGCCCGTCACATGCCCACCCCAGGTGAGGCTCGTTCACGCTCGGGGCCTTAGGACGCCCCTGGTGTGGCCACCTCCGTCCACAGGAGCTGAAGGGCCTGGCCTTGGCCTCTCAGACCTGGCATCAGTGGGCCTGTGCTTTGCAAGTTTCTAACATGTTGGCTTCACAGGGAAGACAGAAAGAGACAGGCATCCATCCCCCCAGGCCTGTGCAGGCCACCCTCCAGCTGCCCAGGGCATCGGCCGCTGTCCCTGGCCCGGCCTGTGGTGCCATTGTGGACAGCTGCAGCACCTGTCCCCACACCCACCATGGCGTGGCTGGGGTATCGTTCCAGACCACACAGTCACTGCATGGCAGGGTGGGTGTCCATGTGGCAGAACCCGAAACCTGCAGCCTACCCCCCACCCTGCCACCCGCTTCCTAGGGCCCCACACTCACCAGCTTCACGCAGATGATGAAGGGTGGCCGGGCGGCTCGGAAGTGCAGGATGGGGATGCGGGGCTTGGGCCTTTCCTTAGAGTAAGAGTGGCCATCAGTCCTGCCATCCCAGGAGAGATGCCCTCGGGGTGTGCACAGCCACTGAGTCTGCCCCCACAGGCCTGGGGCTCCGTCAGGGCAGGACCCACGGTCCCCACCACCCCGCCCGGCCCCGTGACAGCCAACTGCAGAACTGACCAGGGTGGGCTACCCAAGTCCCAGACCCACGAGGGAGAGTGGGGTTCTCCTCAAGGGAGGGGCGCTGGGCTCCCCGGAGGCCGGGAGGAGGCGGGTGACCCCGAGGGTGATGCCGTGCGGCCCCGCACACCTGGGAGTCCTCGTGGCAGTAGAAGCCTTTCCTGATTTTGTTCTCGTCCACGTCACAGAATGCCACCACCTGGGGACAGGCACAGAAGGGCAGCTCTGGCGGGGTCGGGGATCAGGGTGGGTGGGGTCCGGGGGCGGAGCAGGGGGACCCGGTTCCCACCTTGCGCTGGTTGGCGGCCGTCAGGCTGCGGTAGAGCCGGCGCCCCTGCTTGCCGGCGTTCCAGATGGTGAAGGCTGCCCAGTGGGGCAGGGCCCGCTCTTCCAGGAAGCAGACACGGTGGCTCCAGATGGTCGCCCTGCGGTGGAGAGGAGGGTGACTGGCAGGGCGGGGCCCCCGCGCCTCCTCGTGCCCTCTCAGTCCGAGATTGACACAGGCGCCGCTGCCAGGGCGGAGGGGGCGGGCACCGGCCAGTGCCTGAGGGAGACTGGCTGCCCTAGAGTCACCTGTCCCAGCTGGAGGCAGCCACACTCCTAGGCAGGGACCCGCCCCTTCCATCTGGAAGGTTCTGGAAGGCGGAATTTCTGTGGGACGCAGAGGACTGGACTTGACCCAGTTCCGGTTTCCCATTGAAACCTCTGTCCATGAGGGCACACGCGCCCATCCCATAAAATCGCAGCATTCACACATGGACGCGACCCGCCTCGGGGTCGCTGCCCCCAGAGCGCTTCCACTCCCCTGGGCCCCTGGTCTCTGTTCTTTCTGCCTCTGCTGTGACAGGCAGACCCTGGGTCGCTATCCTGGGGACAGGCTCCTTCCTATGACCCACTGCTCTGCCAGCCGCATCACTGCCCGGACCCCCCGCTGGGCCAGGCCCTTCCCGCCCCACCCTCTGTCCTCCCACCGCAGCCCCTCCCCATGCGCCCCCATCGCTGTTGGCCGCCACCTGTGGGGCCTCTCCCTCGAGCCTGCTTCTGAGGCTGCCCAGGCTGACCCCATTTTGAAGCCCCAGGAGCTAGAGGGGCCAGAAGCTAGAGGGGCTAGGGGACACAGAAGCCAGATCGGCCTGGGATGTGTCCCTGATGCTGCCCTCCCCAACTGCTGTGGTGCAGCCATGCTGACCTGTGCCCGGCAGGCCCTGACCTGGCCAAGTCCGGGGTGCCCTCTGCTCTGTCAAGGGAGCTGTGTCCATGGGAACCTCCTCCGGGGTGGGGTCTGGGCCATGCCTCGCTGGGTCTCGGAGACACAATGCTGGTGACGGGTCCCCCGAGCAGGGCCCTCGTGGGTTCAGCCTCGGGACTGGGGCAGGATTCGGCTGTTCTGTGATTTACCGCCTCCCAGGGTACACGCAGATGTTTTAGTCACGGGGTGGTGCTGGGCTTCTGAGATTTCAGGGGGCTCCCCAGGAGCTCTGGGCTCCTGTAGGGGAATGACTCCCTCACCCTGGACCTGGGACCATCTGTTGTGTGGCCGTTTAGCACACTTCTGAGAGAAACGCATAAGCCAGATGTACTTCAGCCCCCAAAACACCACCCAGGGACAGCCAGGCAATGCACAGCCCTGGCACCATCCGAGAAAATGAAAGCCGTTCCCAAGGACCAGAGAGCAATGAACTTCACGCAGTGAAGTCTAAAACAAACACGGATGAGATGCTTGGCGCGAGGAGGCGGCCAGGAGCCTCAGAAAGGAATCGTTAATGCTTTTTCCATTTAAGGTAGAGAATGCAGGATACGACCTTCCTAGACAGACGATCCCAGGGTCGGGGTCAAAGGGTAGGGCAGAAGTGGGGAAGTGGGGCGAAGGCTGGGGGGAAGTGGGGCGTGCTGCCCCTGAGGCCCCTGACAGGAAGGGGCTGTGGGATCCTGGTGGCCGCCCGGCTGACTTTTGACTCCCCCCAACCCTGTGGCGCCCCATTTGCAGGAGAGCCCCCACAGGCAGTGGGATGGGGGGAGCTGCAGGCTTAGGAGGTGTCAGGGAGGTCCCGCCTGGAGTCCACCTTTCCTCCCCGTCTTCTGCAGCTGCCTCAACTCCCAACCCGCCTGGGACACAGGGACGTCCTGTCCCCATCAGTGACTAGAGGGCACTGAGTATGCACGTGTTTGTGTGTGTGTGTGTGTGTGTGTGTGTGTGTGTGTATGGCATGTGTACAGTGTGTGCCTTTGTGCAGGGAGTACGTGCCCGTACTGTGCAGATGTGTGTACATGCACGTGTACCCGTGTGTGCAGTGATGGCACATGCATGCAATGTGTGTGTATGGCATGTGTGCATGCATACAGTGAGTGCATGTGCATATATGCAGTGTGTGCATGTATAGCATGGATGCATGTATGCAGTGAGCTCGTGTGCATACAGTGAGCTCGTGTGTGCATGTATAGTGAGCTTGTGTGTGCATGTATGCAGTGTGCATGGTGTGAGTGCACATATGCAGTGAGCACATGTGTGCATGTATGCAGTGAATGCATATGCCCACGTGTACTGTGTGAATGTGTGTGCATGTATGCAGTGAATGCGTATGCCCACGTGTACTGTGTGAATGTGTGTGCATGTATGCAGTGAATGCGTATGCCCACGTGTACTGTGTGAATGTGTGTGCATGTATGCAGTGTGCATGGCGTGAGTGCACATATGCAGTGAGCACGTGTGCATGTATGCAGTGAATGCATATGCCCACGTGTACTGTGTGAATGTGTGCATGTATGCAGTGAATGCGTGTGCCCGTGTGTACTGTGTGAATGCGAGTGCATGCCATTTAAGTGCATCTGTGCAGCGAGCGTGAGTGCCATGAGTACATGTACACATGTTTGTGCACGTGTGTGCATGCTGTATGTGTGCATGTGTGGTCTGTGTGCATGTGCAGTGAGTGTGTGTGTGTCTGACTGTATGTGAACCTGGGCTGGGACAGACAACTGTGAGGACCTGCCCACCAGGTGACGTGGCCTGGCCGAGTTTTGCCATCTTGTCCTCAGCAGGCCGGGGCTGTTGGGTGTCTCTTGAGGGGACAAACCTGATCCTCCTCATGGACCCACATCAGCTCGGGGCCCCGTGGGGTTCATGCGGGAGGAAGGCAGTCCAGGCTCCGGGACTGTGGCCGTGGGTAGATGTGAAGTCGGGGAGCCTCTGATGCCCCGTCCCCTGGGCTTTCCCAGGGGTCTCCAGTCTGAAAATGTTGGCCCGTTATAGGAAAATAAAATTTAGAAACAGCCATGACGAAACGTCTGTTACCTGTTCATGCTTACCCCCATTTTTCACGTTTTAAAAAGTTCTTATATTAATTAGGGAGAACAGGCCCCTGCACCTTTCCTTTTACGTCCTCAGAGGAAGCCGTGGCCCCAACTCAGGACTGGGAAAGGCAGAAACCCAGCTTTTCCCAAAAGCACAAATCAGCATTTCTGGGAATCTTTGCAGGAGTGGCAGAGCCACGGACACACACTGTCCAAGGCAGCGCCAAGGTGCTGGTGGGCGTGGGCAGGAAGAGGGAGAGAAGCTTCACTCAGCACCAGCAGCGATGCTAAAGCTCACAGCAGGCGAACCAAGAGATCTACACACCCTGCAGTGTAGATGCGGGAGGGAGCATGATGCCCCAACAGGGAACCTCGTGGCTCTGCAGTCCCCCAGCCCCACCCCATGACCCCGGACCCGAGACCCCCTGGGAAGATCGTTTCCACCTGAGGAGCCAGGTTCTTGCCAAGAGCCTCAACCCCATCACGGCAGGCTGGGGCCATGGCGGCTCCCACACGCGGACCACCCTAGTCGGGGTCTTGAGAGCCTGGGGGCCCCGGGTACCTGCGGTGGCCACGACGCCGGCGTCGGACAGCAGCCTGTGTACCAACCCAGCGCCGGCAGCAGCAGCCCAGGTGGCCGAGGCCTGCGTGTGCCACACGTTCTAAGGAAGGAATTCTAGATGTGGCAGTTTCACCGGATCTACCTCACCCCACCACGGCTCCAGTGCAGCCACACAGCATCCCCAGGCCCACGTGGCTGCGCCTGATGGCAACGCGGGGGAGGAAGCTGGGCCCCACAGCCTGGGCGTGTCCTCACTGGGTGCTGTGATCCCCAGGCCGTGCCTCCGCCACCCCCCGTGGCAGCCGCGCTCCCCCAGGCCTGTCGTCCCAGCCAGCATCCCCCCCTGCCGAGACTCCTGCCAGGTTAAAGGGAGAGCAGGATTTCAAAGGGACCCAGCACCAGCACTAGCGTGGTCATTTAACCTCACAGACATGAGAAGGACATTCACCCTGGTGCTCCCTGGTGCCTTTGGGAACCGCCCCTGCGCAAACGCCAAGCCCCCAGCGCCCTGGGGATGTGCCGTTTTCCCACCAGACCCTGTGTCTCAAGGCAGAGCCCCGACCATGGCCTCCAGCATTGGCCCCACCAGCCCCAGCCCCGACCCCAGACGCCTCCTGCCTTCCTGGGCCTCCCACGCGTCCCAGGGCGCGGTGGGGTGACTCACTCGCGGACGGAGTGTGTGGCCGCCTGCAGGTGGTAGCGGTAGAGCAGGAGAGTCTGGTCCACGCGGATGACGCTGCCGCCCTTCCTGAGGTGCTCGTAGAAGAACAGCAGGTCCTCGGGGACGCCCTGCAGCGCGAGAGAAGCAGGGGTGTCATCGGGCTGCCTCAGATGCACCACCCCTGTGCTCACCCGGCCAGCCAGGAACCGGTGGAAAAATTTTTGTGGCAAAGAAACCAGTTTAGAGGCTCAGCAGGGACGTGGGGCGGCGACCACCACCGGCGTGAGCAACCGAGGTGAAACTGAGTCCTCACAAGGCCGGCACCAGGGGAAGCAGACGGTGGGCTGGCTCTTCGCTCGGCCCCAAATTCCATGTTCGGCAGCAAAGGTCTCAGGCAAAGAGGAAGATAGACAGCCGAGGAAGGGGCTGGGGGGTCAGGGTCTCGCCCATGGCTCCTGGGCGGCTCCTCCGATCCTTTCCTGCCAGTGGCCGCAGCACAGAGGCTCAAGGGACTCAAAGTGCCGACTGTGGACAGAGGACGGTGGTGCTGGGTGGGCTCTGGGGCTGTGTGCAGGGAAGCTCAGCCGTGGGGGAGGCAGCCCCGGGGCCGTGGTGCCGGGTGGGTGTGTCGGGGAGGCGCCCTGGGCCACGCCAGCCCTGCTCACTTGTCGAAGCTCAAAACCTTGAACCTCAGCCCACGGGGCTGATCCATGAACACTCCCTCCGTGTCAATGGGGATTCTGCGCTGGGACATTCTGCAGGCATTCCCACTGGACTTTTCTGTCCTGAGAACCTGGGCCCTCCCTCCCCCAGCCCATAATCCCAACGGCCCCTGCCCTCTGCCCCCTCCCCTCCTGGGCAGACCCCAATCCTCAGCCCAGGCTGTGATCAAGCTGTGGGTCCGCTGGCTCTGGCCTTGTGCTGAGGGGGCCCCTGCTGCTGTCTTAAATTCCAGCACAAAAGCTGGGGGAGGGGCAGGGCACGGAGTCGGGTCTCCTCATGGCTCTCTGCTGCAGCCCCCTGGGTCAGCTGCCCGGAGACGCCTTCGCTCCAGGAGAGGGTGGGTTTTCCGAGAGCCTAGCAGTGCAGCCTCTTCTCTCCTCCGCCAACGCTCAAACTTCAAGTGCAGGTCAGTAAAAGCCCCAAAGTCTCGTGGCCAGACTGCTGGCCTGTTTGCTCCCAGGATGGGCAGACGGTGCTGTGGTTCCACGTCCAACCTTTTAACCGCGCACCATGTAACCCGCACCTCTGCGGGGCCCTCTGGGCACCGGAAGGGTGTGAAATCCCTTTTACAAAAGCCATGAAGACACGGAAAGATTTGTAACGAAGTGATGGAAAGAGCAGACCTCAAAATCATGTTGACAGCCCTGCTAAAAGTTTTTCCACCAAAAGACAGAGACAAGAGTCACAGAAGCCCGGGTGCTATGATGCAGGCTCCCACGGGTGCTGGTGGACGG